CAAGCATTTTATTCAGATGATATGCTAACCAGATGACCATTTTATTTAATTGTACCATTCGAATTCACCTATTCATTTTTTATCATTTTATTTGGATATTCACTTTTTTAATGATGATTCTTAGATATAACCATCATGAATAGCACTCTTCATTCTTGGTTTGGTTGGTCTAAGGCTTCTTCAGATGGAAATGGATGTGGCTACCCACATTAATTTGATTCCAACAAAGGAATGTAACATGTGATGATGAGCATTAGTTGAATTAACATATCATTCGACCATCTAACCCCGTATGAGCCTTGGACTATTATTTTTAGTGATTTTTTAAGAGCTATAGAAATATTTATTTGAAATATTTTTGTCAAATGTTTCTCATTATGAAAGCAGTTATGAATCATAATGTTTTTGTCTAAAGCACATTTGCTGAACCATTCGGTAAGTCTTGTTAATCTTCATCTCGTTTCAACAATAAGAATTTTGCAAAGTAAGTGAATTTAAAAATTTTTATTCATAGATTGACAGCTTGACTAAGAATACCTCAGCATTCGGCTTAGAAATTTAGGATCTACGGAGGATTCAAGAGAAAGTGTTTGCAAAATTATTTATCTTCTTGGATTTATTCTAGTTACCGATTAATTGGTTTTTTGTTGAAAAAAATACATGGCAAATGTGAAATAGGGTAACCGAGTGGATAATGAGGCAGCTTCTTGTGTTGGGCAGTTTATCTTGGCATTGGATAGGAGTAAACCTTTTGAAAAAATTAGTTGATCCACTTGCTTTTTTATTGCTAAATGATTCCTTGGCAAAATCATACCAGCTTGGGGAGCCCAACCACTTATTTACATAGTAATGCCGAGGTACTGTGTCATTATTAGAAGCTAAATTTTTTGACAAAAATTTTTTTTTAAAACCTTTTTAAAGGTATATTTCACACATCACTCAGCCACCTTTTTGACCATTTTTAATTTATTTGTCGAAAAAAAAACGCATCATTATCGATGAACTTTTTATAAATGATCATTCATAAATTTTATGCCTTGACGCATGTTTTCTTTATCGTATTGGCGCATTATTCATTTGGAAAATCGACAATTTCCGTTGCTTCAATTATTTAGCGACAAGGTGTACCATTCGAAAGGTTCGTTAATTTTAAAGTTAATTTTAAAAGTTCAGTTTTGGTTCAGAGAATTTGACAAAAAGAAAGAATGGAATAGAAACTAATTTTAATAAGGAGAAGTTTTTTTAAAAGTTTTTTTATTAAAAGTTTTTTATTTATTAAAAGTAGCATTTTCTCATATTCATTGTTCAAATATTAGTTGAAAATAGCTTAAAATAATTTCACTGGAATGAAATTAAAGACAAATATCAGCACTCAACTTTTCTGATTCGGCTGCTATTAGCTGTTAAGAAATATAAGCGGCTATTCAACCTCATGAGCCTTTTATTTTAAATGAAAAGTTTACGGATGAGAATTGAATCCGTAATTTTCAACCAGAGCAATAAACCACTCGGTTAACCATCTTGTTCCAGTCTTTAGCCTTTGCGATAAAAATTACAACATTTCGAAAAAAAAGAACTTAGAACTTAGAACTTTATAAAGTTAGGTGAAATAAACAAAAGTATATTTAAAGTTATAAAAGTATATTTTGCGCTCGATTCAATTAATAGAAATTATGATTCTTAATTTTCTAATTTTTAACAACAATACTGTTTCTGGTTTAGCTGGTTCTACATCTAAGATTCCTTCTAAGTTGAAAATAGAAGTCAAATGTATTCCCAACCTACCCTCGTCAAGTGGCACGAGTCGAAACCATACCATAAGCCGAAGAAGTGGCAATTCGGTTAATTGCCTCAAGTTAATTGCCTTTTTAACTGGTTCACTTACAATTTTTACCGCAAATTTTTTTTTGTTCCGAGGAACAGTTGAAAAGTAAATTTTATAACTTTTAATTTTAATAAGATCATAAGAATCATACAAAGAATTAAAATATGGTCGGAAAAACCGAGAGAATTTTTTTTAAAAAACAATCTTTGGATAAAGGACTCTTTATAATAATGATCCAACTGCTCAATATTCAAATCATACAAATTTACATCTGTTAGCTAATTAAAAAAAAAAAAGTTTTACAAATTTTCGATACAACTGTGTCCTTGAAAGAAAAATAATAATTTCTATGCAATTTTTATTTGATTTGCATAATATTGTAAGTTACCCACATATGGGAAAAATAAGCTCATAGAATTAGTTCGAACGGCGCTTAAAAAAAAACGAACGAACTTCGACCAATTTTTTCTTTTTGTCGCCGAATGGTGAAAAAAGCCGTAAATATGAGCAAGTCATACGGATTCCCGCCCATCTTAAATTAAATATAAACTCCCAAAAGATCATTTTTGGCCATTTTGTGCTTCTTTTAGGGGAGACGAGCGGTGAGCGATGAGCATTTAGATCTTATATTTGATTTTATTTTATTTTACTGTATTTTTCTTTGTAGTAGGGCAATTGTTTCGCTTTGTTTTCTTGTATATATTTTCTAATAAAGGTTTAATTACCTAAGTTTGAGGGTCCGCGTGGCAGGAATGTTAAATCTATACAGAAACAATATAGTGGAGCGGATTCCCAAAAGGAATTTTTGTAAAGGTAAAATATTGGAAGGGGAATCGAATTCCAAAGAAAATTTCGTAGTGCTATATACCTTTTTCTGACACAAACCAGACAATTCTTCTTTAACCTTCTTCTTTAACCTTACTCGTCTCTTTGACCCAATTATTATACTATTGTAATATATTGTTACTATAATTCAACGATAAATAAAACTTTTCTCGTTCGACTAAAGACAATTTTCACGACAATTTTATCGGTTCCACGAGCTGGGAATATGATGACAAGCTTAACGAAAAGTGCGCAACCAGAAATAACAAAACTCAATGAATTACAAAACAAGAGCAAAAAAAGAATAATCGAAGAAAAGTTACGACGCTTTGAAATACACATAGGTTATTTGGAATCAGTCAAAATGGGTTGAACTATATCAATACAATAATCACTCCACAAAAAAGGAAGAAGGAAGTAGAAAAGTATGCCCAAACGGTCGACAGCGAAAAAACTTTAAACTTTAACTTTAAACTTAATAACTTAACAGTAAAAAAGCTGTTGTTGTACTCGACATGCATAAAAAAGATTTGAATCAATATTCAAACAAATAAAAAACCGCATTTAAACAAAGAATCTAAATAACAGGATGTAACCAAAACAACTTCTTTATCGACAATAAATTTGCCACAGTTATCGCTATCACCTAGATCATGAGGAGAATTTTGGAATAAATTTGAAGCTGCTGTACATTCTCAAACAATTCCAGAAAATTAATTCAGTCTCCTGCTTAAAAGGAGAAGCATTAAGAGTTGTGAGAGGTTATGATATTGCACCGGAAAACTACCAAGTCATGCGAAAAGTTTTGACTGAAAAATTTGGGGAGATTTCCACTATTAAGAAATCTCTCTAAAACGAATTACATACTGTCAAAAGGTATGATCGAGACTGGAAAACGATAGTCGAAGCAATCGAAAGAATTCTTCATCAACTAGAAGCTATCGGAGAAAATCTTGAACACTCGAGTATTGAAATACTCATTGAAAGCAAAGCAATGTTACCAGGATGGATACTAGACAAAGTATTTCAACAAAAGGATGATGAAACCTGATCAGTAACAAAACTTCGACAGTTTCGCGGTAGTAAAAAGAAACGACCAAGTAACCATAAGTCAAGCCTCAGACACCAACGGTGAACCACAATTAACCAAGTTTAAATCCAAACGTTGGCAACAAAGAAATCAAGGAAAAACTTCTGCATTGGCAACAATCGAAAGGATTAGACGGAATTTATAAGAGAAGACCTTGTTCGTTTTGTAACAAAGATCATTGGGATAGTGATTGTGAAATTTATTCTTTAAAGCAAAGATTAGAACGTTTAATTAAGACCAAAGCCTATCGAAAATGCCTCAAAGGGGGATGCGGATTGCAAAAAATCGGTGAAATGTATTTTATTGTAAAAAAACCCACAATAGCGCATTCCGCGACAAAAAGACATCAATAATTCAAGCAAGCTGGACATACTTCCATACCAGAAAAGGATTAGATCATAAAAGGATTAGAAAAGGATTAGATCGGCTATCATCAATACGATCACCGAAAGGGAGAAAAGAATTTTACTTTTATGCAAAGAAGTTATTGTCTTTAACGCAGAAAATTCAGAATATTACGAAGAAGTTCTAGTGTTATTTGATATTGGTTTACAATTAACCTTTGTTTCCAGAGAATTAGCAAATCATTTAGAACTTGAAAATAGTATTAAACAGAATTGACGTAATTAAATATATCTACCTTTGGAACCAGTTACCATACGGTACTTCCCACAATAAAGATTAGTTGGAATAAAAAATAAAGGCAAGAAAATAATAGTTAACAGTTTAACAGAGATAACATTTTTTATGAAGTGGATTTGGTGGATTATTTAACAGGTAAACTTCAAGTATTGGATATACCATCTACAATGGACGAGAATTACCCATTAGAAGGCCTAGCTTTCTATCGGAGAAAGATATATTAATTGGAGCCGATTATTTCTTCAAATTTATGCAACTAGAGAAGAGAAAATTCAATAATTGAAATGAGGATTTTCCCCACTTCAAACAAATTGGGCGCCATGATTTGCAGAAGTGGATATATCGAAGAAACTCGAAAAGTAAAATTTAATTTTCGTTACAATTAAAACCCAGTGGACGTGTCTAGAAGAGGACTTTCTCCTACAATCCTCAGAAATTTTAATTCTTGGTGGTATGGACCATCATGGTTAAAAAGGAGGAATGCGAGTGGCCGCAATGTGAGGTTCACCATAAGAGCATAAAGACAACGAACAATGATAAATGAAGACAATGATAAATGGAGAAACTCAATGAATTGATATAAATTTAATACAACAAATGCTCAAGTATCAATAATTTATGTTTATAGATGCAAGCCGATTTAGCAAATGGTCCAAATTAATCAAAACAACTATTTTGGCACTTGAATTCATCAAACGCATAACAAAGAATAGATTCAAGTGGTTAAGCCCGATCTCAGATGTCCTCTGTTATATAATAATAAAAGAAGATGAAGTAGACAAAGCTCGTTGAATGCTAATTAAACAAGTTTGAAGGTATCAACGACAATGAAATAACTAAATGCAATCTTTATTTTGGCAAATATGAAAAACTATGGAAATTGATGAGTCGATTGGAGAATTTAGAAAACATTAAGTACCCGATTTATCTACCAAGGCATAATATACTAACCGAACTCCTTACAATGTATTAATATAAAAATTCACATCATATTAGTGTCTCTCATACGTTATCAACAATGAAAGATTCCATATGATGTATTGGATTCCAAAGGGTAGAACAGAAGTCAAACATGTTTTAAATCATTGTATGGCCTGCAAACATTGGAGTTCCAAACCATTCAAATTGCCTACTGTGGCAAATCGACCGGAATCACAAGTTCAACGTTCAAGGACATTCGAATCAATTGGCTTGAATTACTTAGGTCCTGTTACTATAAAACTAGAAAATTGCTCAGGAAAACGATTGTTATATGCATGGATTGTTATATGCATCCAAAAATATTAGAGAATCTCTCTAGCAGATTTATTCATTGACGAGAATGTTTGAAATTGATTTTAAGTGATAATGCTACTCAATTTCAACTAGTTTTTAAAATTATCAAATGGAACAGATTGTCAAGTTCTTAGCAACAAGAAGAATGAATTGGAAATTTATAACTCCTAGAACACCATGGGAAGAAGGCACTTATGAAAGAATAATTGGATTAATGAAGCAAGCAATGAAAAGGGCCATAGATAAAAAAAGAAAACTAATAAGTTCTATGGGAAAGAGAACTAATAAGTTTAACAATGGAAATAGAAGGTATGCTTAACACTCCTCCATTAACCTAAAAAAATTTTAATTACTATTTAGTCATACGTCATATTGATTTTATTTCACCTGATGCTTCATTAATCTTACCTATTGAAAATGATAACATGCGGGATGAAAAATTTTCCCGAGGTATGTGAAAATTATCCAGAATAAAAGAATTTCATGAAGGAAAGGATGGGAAAGTGCGGACTACTGCAATAGAATTACCAAATGGCAAATTACTAAAACGTTCGGTAAGTGTACTTCCTCCGCTCGAAATTGATTCAGAAATCGAAATCGAAACTATAGAAAATTATAATCTGGATTTGTAATTGTAGTCAACGAGGAAGAAAATCGAAATACAAGAACCAACTGCAATGCGTAATCGAGCATCGACGAGAAGGATGTCTGAAGGAATCCGAAGTGAACATATTAGCTTATCAATTCAAGTCTTGCTATTAATCATGGGTATATTATTGCAGGTTCAGGCAAAGATTTTGAAAGTATAGACCAGCAATATATAGACTTTGACGATGGAAAAAGGAATGGTTTCAGTTACTGTTGACGATGGCATTAGACCGTGCCGCTTGAAAGCATCTTACCCTTGTAGCCGCTGGAGCAAGTCTAACCAGTAATGGTGAGAACTGGTAGAAGAAGAAGAAGAAACAGTTATGAAGAAAACTTGCAAAATGGTATTCGTTTTAGCCTTTCCAATAGATGGAATTCTGAAAAAAAATATTGCAAAATAAATTAAAGTCACACGTTATCCAAGATAGCTTATATGCAAGATCTCATATGAGAATTCCAGCAAAACGATGCAATATTATAACGCGAGTGGTATGTACTAAAGCCTTTCTTAGGCTATTTTTATCTGTAGTCTCGGACCAAACAACCACTTCAGCCACACCATCGCAGGCTTATAAATTTTTACATAAACATAAGGAAATTAATGGACTTATTACGAAATAAATTGCAGCTTGGACAACAAATAATAAAATAAAATCCTACTCCTATGAATGGTTAGGAGTAGGATATCAGTCTACAATAAATTTTGCACTCACTTAAGGAAAATTACTAGTCTGTGATGGAAATGGTATGGTACCCGATCTTGACCGTGCTGAACATTGCACTACTCAAAGCGGAAAATGTGTAACCAGCAATAGCATTATCTTGTGGAATAAAACTGAAATATAAAGAATTGGTGTATATGATGCATATTTTGTGGAAGTAATTATAAGTAAATTATAAGTACTTATTTTCAGTAATGAAACTAAGATAATTATGAACACAGACTGTAATTTCACTAAATCTTATCATATGAATGGCGATATTATTGATAGGGGATAGAATGTCACAGTGGGTTGTTGCTCAATTGGGAGCATCGATGCTAAGGTTCGATTCCCTGCACGAGTAAACCTGTAAAAAATCCGAGTAATGCCGGCGACTCATCTGTATTTCTGTACTTCTGTCCCATAGGATTCCCTGGCATAATGCCCAATGCGATAAACCAGTGGAGCGAGTTTAACGAGTAATGAGGATTCTTAAAAAAAAATTATCATTATGGGACCAAATTCAACCAAATTGAGAAATCGAATGGTTATGAATTTGACATCAGCTAATAAAATTAGGTAAGTCATTATTGATGGAAATGGACAAAGATAAATTCGATGCAGAGAATACGAAACTTTAATATATTTTTAATAATTTACAGCGGGATTTCTAATAATAAACGAGTATAGTGCATTAAATAGATTGTCAAAATAATAATAATTCACTAATTGAGTTACTAATTGAGTGGTTATTGTCGTACAAATCCAACATTAGCTGCTAGGTTAATTACAAACCAACGATGTGATAGCTAAAGAAATCAAAGGAAATTTGTTAATTATTTTTTGTAAATCGAGAAAGCAAACTTGAATTTGAAAGAATTAATGCAGCATTGGAAATACTGGCTCAGAAACAGGACAGGACAGATTGCATTCAACATCGAATCAATACCAGGTAAAACTCTTTTGGGAAGAAATAAGTCAACAAGGCGAAGAATTTGCCGAACTCCCTTGCAATATGAAATTCACATTTGTAAAACAACAGAATTAATCGAAAAAGAATTACAGGCCTTGCTATACATTGGAAATTAATTATTGTTACTATAATTGCATTTTTATGATCTATAATATGCTTACCATGCAATAAGACTCCAACTAAAACGAAATTTTTAGCAATTCCAATGGAAACTTTAAATAAATTTACAGAACCACTATTATTAACCGAATTCCATTGCAGTATGAACCCCATATTCCACCACTTAATACTTTTCTCCTTAGCTCGAGAATTTCAGAAATAAAAAAAATAAAAAAAAGTAGTAATATGGAAGAATTTATAAAATATTTAAAAAATTCATAAAAAAAAGGAAAATAACATTTTTTTAACAAAGCTTGTTTGCATTATAATCAATCGACTATTCAACATGCAAATCGCACAAAATAAGCTTTCTTCTTTTCTTTGTTCACACATCTATTAGCTAATTTGTAAAACCATCTTATTTACATATCAAAAAAAAGAACTATGAGAGAATTTCTTCTTGGATAAAAATAAACTAATTTTTATGTAATTTTTTATCGACCAACGCGGTTGCCCTGATAGGCAATATATGGCTCCTAGCAGTGGTCATGTTTTTTTGGAGAAACGAACCACTCGCTTTCGCCTGCATTCCCTGTTTTTAATAACCACTCTCATTCACCAATATTCGCTTTTTTTTGAAAATTATTAAATTAACTCTCTCCTTAACCACATTCGCTGTTTATTTTGAATCTGTTAAATGATTAATTCATTTGTTATCCTAAATTGTAATTTTCGATAAATATTTTTATTTACTGTCGTAAGTGCACTTTTTTTCTGATTACCAATTCTATATACCTATCCATTATTCAGGTGTAGAAAAATTTTTTGCTTAGCGTTTTGCTCTGAAAAAACAAAATCATATTATGAAAGAAGCGAAATTATGAGTACATGAATATTATGAGCGAAATAAATTTTAAGATTATCAGGCAATATGCTTAACGAACGGGGATAAAAAACCGAATGGTCCATGTTTGAATCACTATTTCGAGAGATCGCTCCTGATCTCGGCAGAAATGAGCTTGTTAAAAAAAATATAAATACAGCTTACAGCCTGAGGAATCATCTTTACAATTATTATCTCCTGGTTAGCCATATAACCCATAACCCTAAACAAGTGAATTCCAAAGTGATTCTCTGTTGCTAATATCTCTGGAAATTTCTTATCAAATGGACGGATGACATAAAGATATTATGAATGATAATAACCATTTACCGATATTTATTAATATTATTTTTTCAATTATAAATTATATATATATATATATAAAACACTTTTCTTTGTAGATGACATAGGTTATCTTCAATCTCAGTATTTCGATGTATCGTCTACCAAAATCCTAGATGCTTGGGCATATTGTTCTGCACAATGCCTTAATTTTTTAGCAATGCGCTCTTCTAAAGAATATATAATGAATAGAGATAAAGAATAGAGATAAAGAACTCTAATGTTGTTTCTGGAAACTGTTGGAGCGACTTTTCCAGTTTAGGGACCACAGTTCATAGTACTCCTACCACCACTGGAACGTCTTTGATTTCTTTCCATACCTTCTCTAGTTGCTGTTTGAAGACCAATATCTCTCCAGCTTTTCATATTGCTTTTTTTTTTAATGTTCTTATCAATTGCTATTGCTATATCTATCTTCACTGATGATCTGAGGCTTGCCTACTACCACAATGTCTGGTTGATTAGTCAGTATTTGCTTGTCTGCCTGAATGAGGAAATCTCGTCTCAGAGGATCTTGGCCTTATTATTCTCAATTATTTTGTGGCTGATCTTGGGGAGGACTAAGCCATTGAATAGATATTCCTTTAGATAATACCAACTACTTGGTTATGCATTTGCATTCTCTTTCGACCTTTTTCTTATATCCACTGTATGTTGGAGAGTTTCTGGAGCATTTTTGCACACTATGCATTTTGAATCCTGCCTGATGATAGATCCTGCATCGATGGATTTGGTACCTGTTCTTGTATTTCTATGATCAAAGTATGGTCTGGTTGCATTTTACTAAGAATCGGTAGTTGGTATTGAGGGTTAATTACAGCCAGTTTATTTTTTGCCTCATGTCCTGCAATGTATTAGAAGGGAATTTCAGGCTCCTCAGCTATATTGGTTTGAGCCAAAATCCGCATGAGATTGACAATTCGAAAAAAACAGCATCCCCAAGATTTTTCAATTACCTCGAAGCAAAAGATTGGTGAACAGTGCACTTCAAACCGAATTATTGAAGCACCTCAATGGTATAAATAGTAATGATTTTTATGGAATGGTATACTGGTTCAAACTTAAGGAATGTCTCCTACAGTTAGCCACTTCCACGCTAGGGCATAGTAGGAAGTACTAGTTGGGTATCGGAAGCATCTGTCCAACTGTCGAAAAAACGCCGAAGCGCGAATGTCAGGAGATCTTGATTATCGGATGTTCCCAAGAACTGCAACGACAGCAGTTCGGTGGTATAAAAATATCATTATTGGAGCAATATGGCCCTCGAAATGGAGACGTTCGCTCGATTAGGTAATATAATCCGCCTTTTTCATAAAGCAACTATAACTTGGGGAACGGTCATTAAAATGATACGGAATAGTAAAGATATGCCTATTAAAGCTTTTAAAGTTCGTCTTTTTAGGTATTTTTTGAAGCGAAACTTGCCCATCTGCGCCATCTGTTGTCTGCGACATAATTCTTCTGTATTACTCTTCTAGTCATGTGTTTGCAACTGCTAACCTTCAATGGAACAGGAAATAATCTCTTCCAGAAGCTTAGGGCCAACAAATTTCCTGAAGGTGGTCTTCGGGCCAAGTTCTGCAAATGTTGTCCGTCATCACACCTTCATTAATTTACTTATGGAAGAAAGAAATAATACCAAATGACTAGACTAAACAATTCTACTCCCAATCCCTAAAAAAAGCTTGATCTATAATAATTGTCGAGAAGTCTACTAGACATTTCCGAATCGCTATTCCCTCATATTCAATAGATTTATGGCAGTATAATATATGCTGGCCAAGCTGCAGGATCAGGACGCGATTATACTGACCAGATATCCATTTTAAAAGAGATATTGGTACGTCGCTTCAAATATTGTCCATCCTCACTAGTTGATTTTGCAGTTGTCTTCGCTTTAATTGATAGAGCAGCATTTTGGAGGATGATGCGATATGTCGGTGTTCCAGAGAAGATTATTAGGCTCGTAAAAGTATTTTATCAGCATATTTTATCGGCATTGGTCTGTCTATAATGGGATTTGACAGGCTATTTCGAAATAAGAACTGGTGTCCGTCAAGGTTGCGGCCTTTCTCCTCCAATTACACTATAGATTGGGTAATGGACATCGTTTTATGGTATTCAAGAGATGTACAAATCAGTTTAGAACACAGTATCGCAGACCTTGAATAGGCCTTTTGATGATAGGCCTTTTTGCTGACAGTTATGTCGAAATGCAAACAATGTCGACAACTGCAATAAAAATCGGACTCATGATTAGTTTAAATAAAATAAGTATCTTTTCGCTTTATATACCAGAACGTAATAAAATATCTATTTTCATCAATTCATCTCCACTCGAGGAACTACCAGGCTTTAAATATCTTGGGTCCACTCTAACTCCAAATGGCCAAGCAAAAGACGAAATCCTAGATAGTAACTAGAAATGTGTTTTTGCGGTTGGAAGAACCTTAGGAAACCGTCGCGAAATCACGATCAAAGCGAAAATCGGCACCTAAATAGTTGCAATTCGCTCGATCTTGCTATAAGACTGCGAGACATGCCCTATAGGAGTGGAGGATAAGAAATTATCCTCCTTTGACCACTCACGACTAAGATATATTTCGCATATTCACTGACTGGATAAAATCTCACATGGTTCCATTGACCACTGCTCAAATACCTCCTTCATTAATGGTGCTTCTTTGTTTATAGCACTTCGTCACTCACCACAAAAATTGGCACATATTTCGTTACTTTCTAAATTCTATGATGGCTGGCCTCAAAAGCGAATAGGACCAATTATAACCTGGACTGGTGCAGTGAAGAAAGTAGAAGTGGACCAGAGATATATGGGCTTAGGAAATGAAAAAAAGGAATGACTTCTATTATTATCTATTATTATCAGCGATGGCATCGGATCAATCAAAAGGGTTTTATCCTTATAGCTAGGCTTTTTATCCTTATAGCTAATGGAGCTAGCCTAACCAGCAGCGAGAAAAGAGAGAGATATTGTAGTATTCTATATTTTATCTTGTCCATGTAGTCCATTTACCATCAGATAGCCCTAGTTCTTCAACATCTGATGCAGGCTTGTTGATTCAGCGGATTTCAGAGCCAGTATGACTGTGCGAGAACTCTCATAGCATAAGCTTTCAGAGGATCGCTACCCAAGGATTCTCCAAAAAGATATATATTGGCTACGAATCGAGCTCTTATTCTTTTTCCATATTAGTGGCCTTGGCCACTATGCAATTTCAGGGTTTCTGAGGAATTTCAAGAGAATTATATGTATATATATAGTTCTATCATATTTACAATAATTTTGGGCATTTTTAAGCTAAAATTTGTTGAAACTTATTAAACTGAAATCTTAAAAAATCATATATTTCTTTAAATTATTTTTTATTGCTGCCTATATTACGTCAAAGAAGAAGAAGATTGGAATCATTTGAGTGAGAATTGAAAACTAATAGTAACAGGTAATATTGGCATTCAGAAGCATATAACTGTTAAAAATTGGATTTTCTAGAATTCCATAGAAGTCTCAGGCTAATATTTTGCCGAATAGCAAATAAACGATAAACAAGACAAATTCGTAAGAGAATATCTTCAGATCATCAGTTCGCGAAAGCCTAGAATCGATAATATATAGCTGTCGCGAAAAGCAATGCTTTTTTTAAAATTATTTCAAACTAGTAACCTCAGCCCACCAAAAGAAAACTTAATCTTATTATTCTTTGCTTATTCCATTTTCATATGTCAATAAAAGATGGACATCAATTTGCAGTTGTATATTATATATCTCAATAAAATTGTTTTTCTTTTCTTACTGTGGAGCCATCAAGGGATCCAAGCGGTTAGATCCCAATATTTCAATATTTTATACTTTTTTTATTTAATATTCTTTATATTTATTCATTCTTTTATTTAATCATTTTTTATTTGTTTTAAGATAGTTGCCTTTTTAATCAATGGATTTAATTTGTATCAAATATTATTTTTTATTTTCAGGATATTCAGTATTATTGAGGTTTAATTACCCAAAGTTTATGGTGTTGAATAAAATTTTTATAAATATATGCGATGATCATATTTTTACTATTGCCCAAAACAAGATTTTCTGAAATATCAACGCGTAGCAGCCGAGCATCATTCCATTGTCTTCAATTACTATTCTATTTTTTACATGGTGGTCGGAACTCCAGAACCATAGTGGCTATTGGTATTTTGGATTCGACAACCATCAAAAAAAGCAGTCTTTAATTTTATGAAATAAAATTAATAATTATTTAGGTAAATCAATAAACCAAATCAATTTTATTTGATTTTCAACTTTCGGAACCATTCAAGCTGTTGCGGTAAATTGGTCAATTCCAATCAAGGACAAATCCAGCACTTCACTTCCTACGACAGCTTAAAAATTTCAAATATTACTAATTTAATTTGTTAAATCAAATTATTATATTTAATTTACGTCATAATTAAAATTTGCATTAATTGTATTTTATATACCGTGAAATTTCGATTATTCTGAAATTTATTTTTATTTCCATAAAAATGAAAATGCGGACCATTATAAAGAGGAACTTACATCTTAAAACAAATCGATAGCCTAAACGTTAGAGATCCTCCCTGAGGATAAATTTAAGCCCCGATTTTCTATTTATTAAAGATTTGCGCCCTCGAAGGCCAAAAAACTTGACTCCTCATTGCGATCGACCCTCTTCAGAGCATTGAGCAAGGCAAAGAGTTAGCTTTCATTATCGTGATCTCCAACAAATCCGATTCCAAAGAACACATAAAGTGGGCAAAAGAAAGATGAAACTATTCACAATTAATTTTAAAAGCAAAAATCACAAATATTGATTTAGATACATCAATAAAATATTTCAAACTTAAAATTGAAGAATTCTTCCCTTCGTCCTTTTCCCTTAGCCTCAGCAAAATATTTAAATTTCTGAAATTGCAGTTATCTCGTTTTAATGGAGCTGTTTAACACTTGTCCTTATTCAGACACAATTTTTTGATTTATTCCTCAATTAATTCAAGCAATATGCAACCAGTCGATGAACTAAAATACTTGATGTGTGCCTAAATGGCGAGGCAAAACAGCTGGTTGAAGGCTTCCCAATCGACAAGCAATCTTATAAGGAAATTAGAAAATTCTTGAGGATCGATACATCAATTCACAAATAATTTTCGCAGCACTCCATCATGAACTAGAGCAGTTGTCTTCCAAGAATCAGGACATTCGATTGCTTAGAGCAAAAATCGAAAGAATCTTGAGAAATATGGCAAATCTTGGAGATGTTAATAATACTTCCATCTTAGTTTTTAGTTTTTATTAAAGATAGATTACCATTAAGAGTGGCAAGAAGAGTCGCTATGGAAAAAAATAAATTGTCCTCAGTGGAATTTTCAAAATCTTCGTCAGGTTTGATTCCTCGTAGGAGTAACCTGTACCTGTAAAAATCCAGCGACTTAGCTGTACTTCTATCGCCAAGAGATTCCCTGGTATATTGCACAATACGACAAGCCAGTGGAGCGAGTTTAACAAGTAATGATGACGAATCTTTAAAAAAAAAGATTTCTGAGATAGTTGTCTTTTTAATCTATGGATTTAATTTGTATCGAATATTGTTTTTCTTATCAGTATATTATTGAGGTTTAATTACCCAAAGTTTGAGGTGATGAATAAAATTTTTATAACTACGTATTCGAAACAAGGTTTTCTAAAATTCAGAACGTAGCAGGCGAGAATCATTCCGCTGCCTTCTATTTTTCTATCAGTCTATTTTTTACAATAGACATATAATGAATAACCACATAATTCTGGCTTTTTGTCAAATAAATCAGTACTCAGGCACAATCTTACCAGTTCATTCATAAATATGATCCATAAAAGTATACTAATACATGGAAATTTTCCACCCCTAAAAAATTTTCGAAACACTAAATTTCACTGCATGAGACAAGTTTTGATGTTCGCATTTCATTGTAATGCGAAGGCTATTATTGCATGAAGCATTGATAAAATTGTTGCATCGCCCTGAAAAAAATTTTCGAAACACTAAATTTCACTGCATGAGACAATGTTTGATGTTCGCATTTCATTGTAATGCGAAGGCTATTATTGCATGAAGTATTGATAAAATTGTTGCATCGCCCTTATTTCTATCATGATAATGATAATATATTATGAAGCTCCTTATCAGCTATCTTATCTTTAAAATGAAAAATTAAGTTAATTTTTTTTTAAATTTCTTCTCTTGCCGTGCCAAATTTATGAGATAAGCGAAATGAACACATATTTTACAGGTGGAATGACGAATTATTTATAGTTTAGTTGTCCATTGTTAAGGTGAATATTTTCTCCAAAGAATCAATTGAGATAGAATTGGTGGTGAAATCCTAATATCTTTTGTATTTCATTTCTAAAGACAAGTAAGAGAGGAATCGAATCCACGATGCCATAACACGACAAAAGTAATATCCAGTCCTCATTTCTTTCTAAATACTTAATTTTGCATATTCAAGATGGTAAAAAGAAACTCACTGCAGCAAGTAGCCATTTGTGACTCCATTTGAGAAAAGAATAATCAAACATATGATGGAACTCGATAACTGCACAAATACCCGCCAATAATGAACAACTCACTGCTGTTGGCATTTCCTTACGAAATTTATCAATATTAGCAATATTATAGGAAACAGTAAAGGTTTCAACCATTCTTTGAACAATCGATTTTTCAATAGCTTATTCTTAGATAATGCCTTTCGGAATTTTTTTTTATATCCAAGCCAATTTCGGTAAAAAATCATAAGCTGCTGATGGATTCAAAATTTCCATTTTTTTGGTTGGTTGAGAAAAATGAAAACTGCCTTTTTTCGTAGCATATTTAACAATAGGTTCTAGTATTTAATTCTAAATTCGAATATTAGCGACTATTAATTTTTAATTCCTATCAATTCCAAATCAATTCAATCGGATTCAGAATTTCTTAGTTCTTTAGATAGGAATAAGCCTTTCATGAAAAGTGAAATCCGACGGGTGCTTAGGGACTCATCTTTATCTCAGTCCCCAAATAACTTTAGCAACGCAATCTTATAGATCGCTAAAAAGGTTGCATTTGCTTATAAATTGGACAAAAATCGTCAAATTTGGTATGATGATCACTTTTTATAAGTAGGGTTTAACTTCTCAAATAATATATTATTCTGTTCCTTTTAACTCATTGCTCTTCATATTTACGGCTATACTGTAATTTGCAATATTCGATCTATTTCTTATTTTTTTTTTCTTTTTGTTAATTCAACTATACATTGCGTTCTAATAAATTTTAAGTGCCTCATATAGATTTTCTTTTTCCTCTAATGGCAGCGTTAATTATAAAAATTTATCATATTTACCATATACAGATGGTTATTCCTCATCATTTCTGGTTAGGCTAGGTCCGCCGATCTTTACTGGAAATAAAAATGCTGGAGCCTGTTGACGATAAAACTATTGGTGAATTAACACCTACTCGGAATTCTTAATTACTGATTTACTTCTACTTAGGCTAAGATCTGTTCTGAGCTGTTCCCTCTCAACACAATAAGTTAAGCACCTTTTTTGGTTCTTCTGTCTTCTATCACTGTAACTGGTTAATAATGAAGAAATATATTATCACTGAATTAAATGGATATATAGTAGATAAAAATGCAATTTCTTGACAAATACTAACCAAATAACTATAATTTTGTCGATATGGAAGCCTAAGAAATATTGAATTTGCTAACATCCAGCTAAACGATAGGAGAGTGATGGTTGCCGCTGATATCATCGGAAAGATCTGAAAAGAATGAGGGAAAATGTGAACATTTGAAGATCATAGAAAAATGGATTGAATGTCCAGTTGATTTGAATAATTAATCTAAAAAAAAAAGCAATGTTTATCGTTAATCGTTAGTGAGACGAAATAGTTGAAGCAAAAATTAATAGAACATATTAATATTAATATTAATATATATTAAAAGAAAAAATCGAAACTATAGAAACTATTAAATATCTATAGAATTTTTATACTTGCTTTACCTGCGTATAGCGAACGTTGTAACCTGACGGCCATGCTATTGAACAACCTTCACTTTGGCAATATATTCCAGCCCAATAAAATAGAGGCACTGCTAGTACCTTTAATAAAAATTAATGAGTTATTGGCTAATAAAAATAAATAAGTTAGAATGTTGCTTTCTGATATATTTTCGAGATATATCTTCAAACACACTTAACATTTGGCATATTCTTGTACCAAATATCCACTGACTGGAAGCAGTAACTATACATACTTCGTCAATTTGTGGCCTCAGACCCTTCACTTATTTGTCTCTTTACTGTGACAACATTCTTTCGCACAAAATGAGTCGCTTACATTGTCTTAACTTTTTTCTTTTTTCTATTTATCTAATCTTTCGATTTTTCTTACCAGTGAAATTATATGTTTTCAACATTAAACCTATAATAGTGGCTCAACGAACATTTATTTATTTCTCCACAGCACTCAACATTTCTTGTTAAATTCACTGGCAGTTCTTCGCCACTGGCAGTTATTTGAGAGATAAAGATAAAACTAGATTGCTAACAATGTCTCTGTAATATTGAGTTTATTCTCATTAAGGACCATCAAGGCCGAACCATGAAGTGATAGTATTCTATTCTCCAAAGATATTTACGTATGAATACAAATAATGCAAAACTTCTTATTCATAGAGAATTTATTTTTGCTTTATATTCTTAAATTCAATGAATCTAAGAATTTTTTTGACAGCAATAGAGTTCAAATATTAAAATCCTGAAAAAACGAAAAAAAATATTTTTTATGATTCAGATAAATTTTTAAAAGAAAAATTAAATTCCTGATAAAATTAATAAATTCTCTAACTGCAACTAAATTCCTATTTATATTTAGAAGAATTTTGAAAAATGACGTATTTCGAATTCAGAAATTGCAAATAAATGAATTTTTAATGGCATGCACTTTTTGGAAATCTGAATTAATGCGTGAATGTGGAATAATTCAATTGCTGCTTCCAACAGCAGTGTCTTTGGCCAAAAAATTGAGATGAGGTGCTCACGACCTACTTGCACCTCCATCATCAAATGGTTCACTGGCAAGAATTCCTAAGTACCAACTGAGCGAAGCCAGAAATGGTGAGCCCCAATGACATATTTAATTAAAAATGAAATTCATATGAAAAGATCATGATTATCTTTAAAAAAACTCATGAGTTTTTATTATACAATATTTTAGCTAGTAATAAATATTAGAAATATTAATTATTGAATAAATTTTAAGTCTATAATCACAAGCTATATAACCTGGACGCCCTCTCTACTTATAAAATTCAATATGGTAATATTAGATTGCTCCAAATATTACAATTTTAGTGAAATTTGGACCGAACAAGATCTAATGGGCTAAAATTACTAAAACCTACATACAAAAATAAACTGAGGACCCATGGCTTTTTATTCGTACTACTATTTACTGGAATAAATTACCAAACGATATAGTTTGCGCTTTATCCTTAGTTATTTTTTAAAAAAAGATTAGATAATATCATTTATGATATTTACAAAGTTCACATTATGCAATTTGAAATTTGAAATTTGAAATCTTGATTTTTACCATTCGATTTTATATAAGCAATTCATTTCGAGCTGCACTATTTTGTAATTCCTCTTTATTATTTCTTTATTACGTTTTATTAATTCTTTTTTTCTTTTTGTCTCTTTTTCTTTTTTTTTTAACCACTAATTTTCATTATTTATTTTAACTGTTGTTATTAATATAAGCATATGGCGCCTGCCGCCTTACTTAGTTGGTTTTCAATAAATGAATGAAAAAGCGGTATATACATACTCTATTCTTCTACTCTATTCTTCTTCTACTCTATTAATAACGAGAGAAAATCCAGATAATCAATCAGTGGTTAACAATGGGACATCGTTTTTCAATGTAGTCATTTTGCTACTTTTTTTATGTAAAAACCTTAATGTCGCATGCAGTAAATCACAAATTGTTCTAGGTAAATATATAAATACTAGTAAGTAATAAATACAAATAATAATATAATAATAATATAAAACTAACGACCGATATAGAATAGAGTAAAATAAGGAATCTTTCCCGTGAACGCATTCTTTTTGAGATAATATTAGCATGTGAACGAAAATTGAACGAAAGTGAACGAAGGAATGAAAATTTGAAATTGAGAGAGTTTCTATGCCAACGAGCTTAATGCTAAGCAATAAAAGTAGCATTTAAAATGTAAAATATATAAACATATAAATATATATGTGTAAAAAATTTCAATAATTAAAATGAAATGGAAAAATCGTCTTAAGCAAATGGCGAGCCTTTCTTCAGATATTTTAGTGGCAGGATACAATACGATACTCATGCTGAAAGAACAGACAAATGACAATTTGAGTACCATAGGTATTGAAAAAAAATTTTTAGGTTGTCTATGCAGAAATTTTCAAATTTATTAACATTATTTATTAATGAAAATTTTCCGAAAAATCAAAATATTGTTGGTTTTAAGTATGACTTTCTTTTTTATTGATTTCAGCGCAGATTGTAATAAATTATTTCTTTAGTACAAAGTACTAAGAATTTGACCAAATTCAGTGAAAACCATTAAGTGAATAAGTAATATACTAATAATTCAAAAATTTAGTTTAAAAAAACCCTTGGGTTATTAAAAATTTATTCAAAACAACGCGAGTTTAAATTATTTATATGCTCCAATGGGTGCTGAAAATCCGCCCGTATCTCTATCATCAAGTTATTTTCTGGTGGCAGTGTCCACAATCATGAATGACCAGCAAACCTAATCAGTAAGAAGAAAAAGAATGAGAAAACCTGCATTTCATATAAAAATCGCAGTTTAATATGCATTTAATTTTTCAGATGAATTTGACAGATGAAATTGACAGATTCGACACAATTAGATACAATTTATATTAGATTAATACAATTTTTTTCTCAAAATATTACTGCATAAATCAATGTCTTAAAGGTAAAAAATAATTGCCTAAATTTTATGAAATATTCTATGAGTTCTAAATTTCTATTAACTTCCATCAGAATTAAAATTTAATCGTTGAAACAGAATAAAACATTTATAATTCGTCAAATAGAATATTGAGTGCAAGTAAATTTCCCATTAACAAAAAAATCTGAATAGTGTTGGAGATCCATACAAATTCTTAGGGATTCCCTGGCAATAGGATTTCGCCAGTAGTTAGCGCTGCTAGCCAAATCGAAAATGGTAAATGCTATTTCAAAAAAGAAATGATTGAATAAGAAAAATTTCGTAGGAAATCAAGCTTTCTTTCTAAGTTCAATCCTTTTTATCTCCTTAATTTAGGATTATTTTGCACCCTATCTTCTTCTTCTAACAGCTATCGCCATTACTGGTTAGGCTGGCTCCAACGGCTACAAGGGTAAGATGCTTCCAAGCGGCGCGGTCTGATGCCATCGTCGACAGTAATAGAAGCCATTCCTTTTTCCATCCTCTAAGTCCATATATTGCTGGTCCACCTACACGTTCAAAATCTTCTCTGACCGTACCAATCCAGGTCTTGGTTGGTCTACCTTGTTTTTGACGCCATCTATCACA